GTTTTAAACATGAAATTCTGGGTCATATGTAATTATCGGTGATTATTCTTTTGTGATCTGCCAAAGCGTTTTCTGAACTGCCACCATCTGCCACCATTTTACTTCTTCCTATCAGCAATGTTCCAGTGTTCGTTTCTCTGCCACCTCCATTCGATTATTGATGTCTCGTAGTTGTTGGATTAGCATATAAATAGTATCATACCCTTCTACCGTCACTTTACAATGTGAATTCATTGTGGTGATTCTAATGCATAATCGTTGAGTATCTTGTTCATGATGCCTTTAGCCATGTGTATCTTCATTGGACTAAACTGTCTACTCAAAAATGTCTCTTCACATATTTTAAAACAGATTGTGTTTTGGTTTGAGTTGTAAGATTATTATTTCTGAATACTACACCCTTAATTGACATATATAGGAGATCTTTGCAATCAACTTTTTCCACTCTGTGTACTGTTTTTCCCACTTTCTTACACACTAGCATTTTTAATGTTTGAGCAAAGTTTGGCAGGTTCTCTTCGCGCTCATACCTGTAGTCCTCCGGCACTTTGGGAGGCCTGGAGGAGATCACCTCTGGTGTCCCCAGCGAGTTCGAGACCAGCCTGGACAACATACGTGAGACCGTCATCTCTACCCAACAAAATAAATAACTAGATGGTGTCTGACATGCCACCCTGGTAGTCGCCCAGACTACTAGGATGAGGACAAGGACTGGCTGACCCAGGGAGGAGAGCTCTCGCAGTAGAGCCATGACTGACACTAGGCACTCAGTCTGAGCTGACAGACCGTGCGACCAGGATCAATACAGTAATGGCAGGTTGTGCATGAATAAACTTGAAAACATCTGAAATTCGCCTTTATTCTGGATGATTCATCCAATCGTGTTTAAGACAATCGTATAAACATTATTTCAAGAAGAAGAATACGTTATGTAAGCTCTTAAGAACCTATGGGCAGGTGCTTGCGGAGCAGTCGAAACTTGAAGACATCAGTAGTCATATCAAAGAAAAATAGTCACGGAGCACTCACAAAGAAACCCAATTACTCCATGGAGAGCTTAAGAAGTTACTCGCTTTGGGCTGCTTCCCTTGGATTAGATGACTTTCTGACAAGAAGTCCGTGCAGTCTATTCATCGAGATTAATGGCTTCAGTGTCTTGCACTCTGCGAGAGCGAGTTCCACTCCATTCAGGTTTTCCTCCTTCTTTTTTTATAACACAGCCATTTAATTTTTTAATTTCAATTTATTATATTTACTTGATTTCGGAGACTGGTACGCAGACTGGGTAATTTTGTATTTCGGTAGAGGACAGGTTTCGCATGTTTGCCCAGTGCTGGTTTTTTTTGACACTCCTGACCTAAGCAATCCACCCACCTTAGCCTCCCATAGTGCTGGGATTACAGCTGTGAGCCACTGTGCCCATCCCATGCAGGTTTTTCTCATTGGCAAAGTTTAGCAAGAACCATACAGGAAAAGCCTTCTGGAAAACAGTTCTGAGCACCAGATTGCAGTGGTGGTAGTGTTAAGTGGACAAAGGATATTGCAGTATAGAAAAGTAGCTGAGACATATTGACCTCAAAACTAGAGATGGTTTTAGAAACTTTGAGAGGGAATGCAAATGGTACCTAATGTCTTTGTTCAGTGATTTTGGGTAGCCGCGGTATTACTCTTTTAGAAAATGGTGACTCGGTGCTGTGTTTGAATGTATTCCCCAAAAGTTCACGTTGGAAATTTAATCCTCAAATCCATATGTTGATGGTATTCAGAGGTGGGAGCCTTTGGGAGGTAATTAGGGATAGATGAAGTTATGGGGGCCGGTCCCTATGTTGGGATTAGTAGCCTTAGAAGAAGAGGAAAAGAGAGCTGAGCTGGCATGTTTCCTCTCTCTAACCATGTGATGACTTCTGTTATGATGCAGCAAGAAGGGCCTCACCACATGTGGCCCCTCCGCCTTGGACTTCCCAGCCTCTAGAACTGGAAGAAATAAATTATATATGTAAACATACATAAATTATATACATACATATAAATTACCCAGGTCAGGTTTTCTGTTACAGCAACAAAAAATGGACTAAGA